CAAATACCTGAACACTTCTTTGGAAAGGGATCAATGAGAAAAAAGATCACAACAAAATGAAGAAAGCCTAAGGTTCATGTGGGATACCATCAAAAGGAATAACCTACGTGTCATTGCAACTCCAGAACAGGAAGAGACAAATAAAACCACAGAGAAAATTGTTGAAGATTTGTTGGAAGAGAATTTACCTGGTATGATGAAAAATGAGAATATATCCATTCAGGAAGTCCAGTGAACCTTAAACAGGATAGACCCCAAAAGAAAATCACCCAGACATATTATCATCAAACTTACCAAAACCAAAGACAAAGAGTCATGAGAGCAGCACAGGAAAAACTAAAAGTTACCTACAAGGGGCAACCAATAAAACTAATCTCAGATTTCTCAGCAGATTCAGGCAAGAAGAAAATGGGATGGTATATATAAAACCATCCCATTTTCTTCTTGCCTGAAGAAGATGCTCCCATTTAGGAGCTCAGGGAGCTTAGTGCCTAAGGCACTTATGCTAACCAGAAGGCTGGCTGTTCAAACACACCAGCCACTCCTCGGAAGGAAGATGGGGCAATCTACTTCCGTAGTGATACTACCTTGGAAGCCCAAGGAGGGGTCGCTGTGAGTTGGGTCTGACTCCACGGCACATAACAACAACAATCTATAAAACACTAAAAGAGAAAAATGTCCAACCAAGAATTACATACCCAGCAAAATTGTCCTTCAAATATGATGGTGAAATTAGGACATATCCAGATAAGCAGAAATTAAGGGAATTTGTTAAAACGAGACCACCTTACAAGAGATGCTAAGGGAGCCCTTTGGACAGAGAAGCAACAACAGCCAACAACAACTGACCATTAACACACATGATGATATAACCCAGAAACTAACCCAGCTATGGAAGTATCCAAAGTAAAGAAGCCTACAAGATTGTAAACAGGGGACCAGAGACATCAATTGACAAATGAGGACAACTACAAACCCAAAAGAGGGGAAAAAACTATTGTTACAGAACTTCTAGACGATAGGGAAGTCAAGACAACTACAAGATAGAATGGACTGTTCTAAATTTGGGAAGAAAACTGTAAATCACAGGGTAACCTCAAAGAAAAGTGATAAACCTTCACTTCAAAAAAGAGGACCAGCATAAATATTCAGCAAACACTAAAACAATAGCAATGAAGGAAGTGATAACATGACTCATAAACAAAACAAGTTCAGCATAGAAAATTAGATGGAACAAAGAAATTGACACCACGAAAAAGCACATAACAAAAATGACAGCAACAAATTCATATTTGCTGATAATTATATATCTGGCAAGAGATTTACCTCTAAGATTTATAGCGGAAGAATGGATGACCAAACTATGGTACATACACATAATGCAATGCTAATGCAGCACTAAAGAATAATGTAGAGTCTGGAAAACACCACATGATATGAATGAACTTGGAGGACATTATGCTGAGTGACATAAGTCAGTCACAGAAGGACAAATATAGTATCAGTTCATTGTTGTGGAGGGTCAAGGAAAGGTTTATATATGGAGAGAAACTTTCTTTGTTGGTTGCCAGGGGTGAAAGGGGAGGGGAGGGAACACAGCAAAAAAAAAAAAAAAATGCATTGACCCATTTCACTTTAATTTTGTGTATTTGACTTTACATGAATTATATTTCAATACAATGCTTTTAAAAAATTTTTCCATTTCAGAAATTTAATAGCAAATATTTCAGTGTGCACCTAACTTAGCTTTCACCCTTCTCTTCTGTTTACTTATAGAATAAAAGAAAGATAAAGACATCCTGTTGTTTAGTGCCTAAACGGTTTCTTAATTTAGAGTGAATTAGTCCAAGGAACTTTCTGAGGCTTTCTAAACTTTTAGAAGAAGGTACTATTAAATATTGAACTGCCATTTTAGGAGTGTGATGAATCCAGGTGTTTTAAATGATTTCTATCCACCCACTTACATAAATTCTACAAATTTAACAGCAAATACATGCTATGCATGCACTTTTAACCCTGAACTTTATTGTAATTGCTGTTTTGGAATGGTGAGTATTAGTTATCCATGTCTTTATCAGAAGTTAAGAGTAGAGCCTGATAGCTATGTTGTGACTGGCTGCTAGAAGATGAGATACAGGTATTTTGACCTAGTATAAGCTAATTGTGAAGCAAACTTTTTTCTCATATGTTGCAATTAAAAACCATAGTACTTAAATCATAGTATTCTTAAACTTTAGCATTTCTCAGCTGTACATCATGTAAATATTAAAAAACAACTACATTAATTAAAACTGTGATTTAAATAATTGGAAAGTATTGCCTCCAGATCTTTGATAGGTAGTCATGAAAGGATTTGGCTTGTATATTAAAAAGAATTTTCTCTTATTCTTTGTGAATTTCTGTCTTTCCTTTGAATCATGAGAAAACACCCACAGGAAAAAAGTGGCAAAAGGGATGCTTTATAACATACTGTTTTGGGACATAGGAATGGTTATCTTGCTTGATTCTGATTTTTTATTGTTTGTCTCATTTTCTGTTTAGAATTTTCTCCCAAACTAGTTGGCTTGACTGGTCCAAAAGAAGAGATTGATCGAGTGGCCAGAGCTTACAGAGTGTATTACAGTCCTGGCCCCAAGGATGAAGATGAAGATTATATAGTAAGTCAGTGCTCAGGTTTTTAGCCCATGGGCCAGCTCTCAGATTCCAGATACTCATACAGTCTTTAAATGACTGACTGGCTTCAGAGATAAAAGAAAACCTCAGATTATTGCCAATTCCCTGGAAATTTAGAATATTTGAAAGGATAATAGAATCATATTTCCTTTTTTTAAAAAAAGATACTCATTTAACTTGTTATTATGAATTAATTGCTTGTTTTGGTTTTTTTTTTTTTTTTTGCTTTTTAAGTGGCATAAAATCTTGGCAATATAAAACCCATGGTATCTTAGACTCAATAAAATATATTTATATGCCAAGTTGGGAATAAATAGAAGACATCGTTTTAGTGCAAGACTTAGTTTAAAAACTGTATTTATTATCCCATGAAGAGATATAAATAAATAAATATAGCTTTTGAGAAGCTGATTTAGGCTATGGGCAACTGCACTTTGGGGTGGAATGAGAATCTTGAGACATGAGGAAAGATGGAAGCTGTAGGAAGCTATAGGAAGGTAGGCTTTCTGTAAGATTTATTTGTATAACAACTATATAGGTGTTTAATGTATGCTTTTGATGATGAAGAACAGAAATTCTAGTAGTTTGCACTAATGTAGCTCTTAAATTACAGTGCTTTCCTTAAATTCATCAGCATAGCCCCAGGAGTCCTAGGCCAGTGCCTATTACTTACATTCCTTTTCTTGTTAGTGATTTGACAGTGAGGCATCAGTGAAGATCACAAGCATCCTTCCCCATATACACACACAATTTTCTTAATTTGGACATTTTGTCCATATTCCACATTAAGTTATACTATATTTTTGTATTATTTGTTTTTTAGATGTATTAGTTACTCTGGTTTCTCTATAATATTGGTTGAGCCAAGTGATTAATCACTAAGAGCCTTTCCTGTGCAAAGCTGGTTTTACAAAGAAAGGCAGCCAGGACACTGACTCCTTGATCGGCCGTCTCATCACTGGTTCCCAAGGGAAATGTGCAGAGTTGGCATCTCGTGGCAGTGCATTGTCTCTCCAGCCCCATATGGGTTCTCTGTCACTTTTGAACCTGAAGTGCATTATTTTCCCTATAGCCTAAATTAATCATGCCCTCCAGGTTATACCCTTTAGTACCTTGTAGAATTAGGGAAGTAGAGATTCATGGGAGAAAAAGATAAGAAAAATGAGCGTTTTCCCATAAGCCTTAAGTTTAAGGAAAGTGGAGGGCTCTTACTATGGTTTCCTCTTGCTACACTAGCAGCATAAGAAGAGTAAGGAGAGCAGAGGGACTCAGTGGCCAAGAGATGAAGCCATTCAAAAGGAAGAACTTTTAAACTTCTTTACTTTTTCTATAGGAGCTCTGGTAGTGTAGTGCCTAAGGCACTTGACTGCTAATCAGAAGGCTGGCAGTTCAAACCCACCAGCCACTCCTCGGAAGGTTGGGCAGCCTACTTCCATAGTGATACTGCCTCAGAAACCCAAAGAGGGGTCACCAAGAGTTGGGTCCTATTTGACGGCACATAACAACAACAACAACAGCCCTTCCTATAGAGGGTTATGTTAACTAATTTTACATTTACCTCAAGATTATAGTGGGAGCAGGTGAGCCAATCAGTCTGACTTTTAATATTAAATTAGTTTTATTAAATGTTTCAAATGTATACAATCATAAACTAGGTTACTCATTAGTCTTGCACTTGTTTTACTTAAACAACCCTGAAGTCAAAGAGAAATTTTACAAATAAAACCAAACATCATATAAAACTCAAATTTAAAACATTCATTTAAAAGATAATTTTGTTGAAACCAAAGGAATGTGGTTTGGGTAGGACTGCTCTGGTGTACATTTTTAATTCAGATGCTCACTGCACCTACATGCTTTTCATTTTCAAATTCTATGAAATCTTTGCATAGGCTACCTTGACAGGTTGGTCTTGATTCAGCAAGAATGCATAGCTGTTTTATTGAATCTGCTTGTGACCAGATGAGTACAGCTAGGTGCCAATGAGATCATAAACATAAATGAGACCCAGGATTGGGCATTGAAATTTTGTACATGGTTGTTATACAGTTAATCCAGAATATGGATGTTGATTTTTCTAACCTTAGATATTAAAATGCAAAACAATAAGTCTTATGGAGACTTGAATCCTCTAAAATACTTCCTAGGCCCCTCATAAGAATTTGACTTTGTGATAAAAATCACTGAGGTGCTCATTGCTATGAATTTGTTAGAACAACCAATAGAGGGAGACAATCTCCAGCTTCTTAGGTTTTTCATTAGTATAATTTCTGTCCCTTGAGGTCACAGATTTTCATCCACAAAATATTATGCAAACCTTCTGTTCAGATTAATAGCCTACAAAGTATGCCTCAGAGGTTAATTTTGAGACTAATTAATTGAGGTTTTCTTAAATAACAGCAACAAAAGGTTAAACTTCTGGCTTTGAACACCAATGGAATTTTCATACTGCCGATACATGTAAACTGGGCATGACATACATTGGGATTCCACAGAAAGCTAAATCTGCACAATAGTTAGAAAATACTTTTGAAGAAAGAACACAGTGGTTTTTAAAGCTAAGAAAAGATGTTCATTTTCATTATGAATTGTATAATGAGATGCCATTTTCACCTATCGGATCAGCAAAGGTGAGAAAATTAGATAAAATATATTGTCAATCATATTTAGAGAAACGGAAATAAACTATTAGAGCGAATTTAGAGCAGCAGGCACTTTCATGCATTATTGATAGAAATTGATATATCCTCTTCAGAGGATGATTTGACAGTTCCAT